CCCCCCCTCCCCCCACCCCCGCCACCACTCCAGAAACCGGTTCCCAGTCATTCCCTGTGCAAACGCCCCAACCTCCTTCTGGGTCTGAACGGGCCTCTCGCTTCATTCCTTCTGTAATGTGCACAGGCCGCAGGCCCCAGGGGAGGCCAGAGGCCTGTGGCCTGCAGGGGTGTGGACAGAGCTTAGACATGTATGTGCAAGAGTCCATACATACGTGCAAAAGGCCTTGCGTGTCTCTGGACAGAGCTGAGGTGGCCCCCCCCCCTTGGCCGCCCCATTGTGGCACAGGGCTCTCAGAGGCGAGGGCTCCAAAACGGAACCTTATGATAGAACCGTTATGAACGTGCACTTGTCGAGGCACGAAGATAGAGCATGTTTGATTTAAAAGGTGCAGCCTGATTGGTCATGTGGAAAACCGTGGCCATGTGCGGTGTCCAATGCCAGGGCCACCCTTGCCCCCCGGCCCCACCCGCGTGCCTGCCGCGAGCAGCACCGGCTCTCATGCAGATGTCACCCTCTCTTGCGCCCTTATGTCTCCTATGCCTTCAGGGTGTTCAGGGCGAGGGCACAAATCTGGCTACTCTCGGCATTGACCGAGGTTTTCTTGGAACTCTGGCGAAAGCCGCAGCCGCTGCCCATCCACAGCTGAGCCACGGGCGCCGAGGGAACAGTCCCACGAGTCTTCACTTCTTGATATATCAGGCCGTGGCCAGAAGGCACAGTTGGAGGAATCTGGCCCTCAGCGGACTGGGAAGTGGGTTCCCTGAGGGACCCAGCTCTCCTTCCTGCAGCCCTTCCCTGGTCACACTCTCTCCAGCTCACCCCGGATTCCCAGTGGGCCTCCGCCCTTCTGCCTCCTGCTGAGGGCCCTGCAGACATTCCCTCCCCTTTCCTGAACTCCTCTCATTTGCCCTCCTCATCTGCCCCAGCGTATCCCACTCGGAACTTGGTGCCCCTGGGCTTCACTTCCTGAGGGCTTGGCATTTGTACAGAAGATTCCAGAACCCCTCTCTGACCAGTGCGGTGCCTCTCTAATGGTGAGGTGGCAGGCAGTGTGCCCTGGGCTAGCGGTGATGGGACGGACGCTTTCCTTACTAAATTCATCCGAAGGCCATTTGTCAGAGTCTCTTTTACGGCCCACAGGTCTTTCCGCGGGTGTTCGTGTGTGTCACTGTGCAGAAGGGTCACGAGTGTGCACGGGTGTGCATCTGTGTGCGTGCATTTGTGCGAAGACTGCCAGGAGCTGAGAGCCTCAGGAGATATGCCCTGTGGGTGCTTCTCCGGGTCTGTACACCAGGACCTGCGTAACCAGAGCATTCCAGAATCAAGACAGGATTGTGGGCTGTGGCGTCTGAGGTTCTCAGCTCTCAGACCCTGTGCAAGGCCGGTTTGCAGCTGGTACTGTCAGGCGTGAAGATGTAGCAGGGCCTTGGGGATGTGGTGGTTATGGGCCTTGCAGGGCAGTAGCTTCTGGAAAGTTTGCAGTCCAGCCTCAGTTTCCCAGGAGCTGCTGCGGGGCTGTTTCTAAGTGAGGCCTCCTCGGCTGACCTCAGGCATCCCTGAAACCCCTTTCTGGTTCTCCAGCTCTGCCCCAGCTTCCTCCAGATCTTTCTGCAAGGGGGCTTGGACCAGCCAGCTGGTCAGTGTCTTCTTTCGGAATAAGGCACTGGCCCCTGGGCAGCTTTCTGGTTTTTATTCACACTCAGCTGCTCCATCATTCTGGAGTGTTCTTGGGCTGTTTCCTCCTGAAGCAGTGGCTGGGCTCACATCACAGGCGCTCACAGAGAAGAGCCTCGGGCTTGTGCAGACCTGTCATCCTCCCTCCTAATCTCCTCTGCTGGCACTCCCAGCCGAGCACAAGAGGAGACGAATGTCCAACTGGGCAATTTACCTACCTGTTGTAAACCTGTTGTAAACCTCCGGCCACCCGGAGGTTTGGAGTGGGGGACATTGGCCCGAGTGAGATGCCTGGTTAGTTGGCTGACGTTGCTCTTTCCCTTCGCTGTGGAAAAGAACGCCAGTGCCAACATCTGAGCCGTGAGCCCCGCTCTTTCCTTCCCCGCCGTCCCCCGGGCCACCGACCTCAGTCTTCAGACCTATTCAACAGTCAGATGCGTCTGTTTCCCCTACTCTCTGGCTGCCGTCTCCCGAGGGCAGTAGCAAGGCGGTGGGAGACAGAGTGGGGCTCAAAGGGATGTCCAGATTATTCTAGTCTGGACAAGCAACTTAACCTTTCTTAGCCTCAGTTTCCTCATCTGTTGAGTGGAAATAGCGGTAATTATGTCTCAGGGATGATTTCAAATGAAGAATTACATAAAAGCTCAGTGTGTGGCTCGTCATATAACAGATGTTCACCAATGTCACCATCACCACCACCAACTACCTCTGTCACATTACCAGCGTCAGTTCCATCACCACCACCATTACTGCCAGCACCGTGGACAGACGAGAGCTCAGGTACCAGGTCGGCCCTCTCTGCATGTGGGAGAGGGAGAAGGACAAGGTGGAGTCTGAAAGCAAGAAATGAGGAGGGGACAAGAGAGGGTCCCACGTGGGCATTCGAAGAAGTCCAGCAGGTAGCAGGGGATGGGGTATTGGACCAGTATATATGACCAACTGACAAGATGGCTAAGCTGGCCCCAGATCCCCAGTTCCAGGACAACCTCCCCTCTGAGACCCTGTTCAGCCTCATGTCCCTCACTGAAGCTGGAATATTCTGGCGTCTACAAATTATGTTGGGAATGGCTCTGGAACTCTGGAGGCAGGCAGACCTAGGGCCAAACCCCAGATCCATCACTTACTGGCTGGGTGACCTTGGTCAAGTCACTGGATTTCTCCAAGCCTCAGTTTCCCCCTCCGAGAAATGGGCATAGCAGCTGCTACCTCAGACTTAGGATCGATGGGATCGCGGATATCCAGGGCCCAGTGCCTACATGATACGTAGGAGGGACTCACTTCCTGCTAGTGTCTTTCCTGTGCCCACAGTGCTGATCCTTCTCTTGCTTCGGAAGGGACTGGATCCCAGAGCACTGGGGCCGACACTTCACGCTTTGTCCTTAAGATCCCTGGGCTTCCCGAGGAGCAGCCCTGGGAAGAAAGTGGGGGTTCAGTCTGAGTAAGTGAGACTGGGTGAGTTTGAACCTGGGGTGCCGCGTGACTTTGGCATAATTCTCCGCTAGCTTGGAGCCTCAGTTTCCACGTCTGGAAAATGGAGGTAGCAATCATCACTGCATCTTAGGGTCACTGTGAAGGTCGAATGAGACCTTGCATGGAAAGCACCTGGAACACAGCACAGGATGTTATATTCCTCCTGCTACTGTCATTAAATATTTCCCGGCTTCTGCACTTTCCTGGTGTGGGCGGGCCAGAGAGTGTTTGGTTTCCAAGGTTACTGCATCTCCACCAAAGGCCAGAGGCGGGGACGAGTGTGGATCTGGCCTGGCCACCTCCAGCTGCGTCAGGAAAAGGAGCTGGCATTTTGCTTCGGTCACGCTGGCAGCCTGGGCTGACATGGCACGTATCCCAGTGAGTCACCTAACGGCGTCAGAGCCCGGTAAGCTCGCCCCAGGCTGCCGGACACGCTGAGCATCATCTCTGAGACTCACACACGTCTCATCCCAGCAGGAATTCTCTTGGGGATGAGTTGCTGCCCATGGCCAGGGGCTCTCACTGGTTTCTGCGATGCTCTGGGTGGGTTTCTTCCCTGGTCAGACGCTCGCTCTAGGGATTATTTGCCTTCAGTCGCCTGTAGCAGGGGGAGCCTGATGCGTTCGAAGACCTGAATGTGAATCCTGCTTCTGTCCCTTACCAGTAGCAAGAACAGGCCTGATTCAACTCCCTTCTCTGCCCTCAGTTTCCCCTGGAGGTGGGGGACATAATGACCCTGTCTGATCATGTCTCTGAGCAGCTGTGAAACTAATAATCCAGTGAGATTGTGTTTGGGAAAGCCCCATGTGACCCGAAAATGAGGCAAATATAAGCAAAGTTAGAAACTCAATCGTGTGCGGCTTTGGGCACTGTCTCTCCCTCACTGATGTCAATTTTCTGACCTTTAAAAGGAGGGTTTGGGGCAACTGGCATTCCCCAGAGTGGTGATCCATGAAAGAAAAGGTTCTGCATTTAAATGAATTTGGTTAAGACTATACCTCTAAGCGTCTTCATGGTGCTTCATAGTGTGTGCCTATGTGTATCCAAGGCCAGAAGAATCCTGCCGGGAACAAGCTCGTTCAGCTTTGATTAACCCAGATTTTACTGATTTGACCACACAACCTCATTATCCTAGTGATGGTTTTTCCTGGTCCCACAACAATTACTGTTACTGTTGCTGTTACGATTATTTGTCTTGAGTGCTCTGTGTTAAATCTATTTCCCTACCACAAAACACCCCTTGGGAAGTGGCCGGGGAGCAGATAAATGAGGACACTTAGGCTCTGGTAGATATTGATCCAAGCAGGTGCAGGGGGCAGACGCAAGACTGGCCAGGGGTCCAGGGAGTCACGCTCTGCCTCTGTGTCCTCCAGGTGCCTTTCTGATCCCGTACACCCTGTTCCTTATCATTGCTGGGATGCCCCTGTTCTACATGGAGTTGGCTCTGGGCCAGTACAACCGAGAAGGGGCAGCCACAGTGTGGAAGATCTGCCCGTTTTTCAAAGGTAAAGGATGGGTGCAGGGGAGTCAAGCAGTGTCCAAAAGATTTCCTTGGTGCCCCTGGAGAAACTGCTCCAAAGGTGGGATCCGAGGGGTAGACCAGCTCTCTTGTGGGATTCGTAGATATTGGCAAGGTCAAAAGCATCCACCATTGCAAGCTACACGGAGAGCCCTTGGTGTGTCAAGGCCAGCTTAGCCTAGAAAGTCTGGGAGCCTGGGTACCAGTCCAGCCTCCGCTGCTGACTGACCAGAGGGTGTCTGTTTCCTGTATAGGAAATATTTACAGAAGTGCTAGAAGTACTCAACACATATGCCTCTACTCTCCCCTCTTGCCCCCATGGCAGACATGATAAATAGATCGTAGGCCTTTCTGGGCTCAGCTAGGAAATTGTGTCACAGTCCTGAATACAGCAGCCACGACTAATCGATCACATCTGGGACAGGTGATGAAGCCTGCTTGCATTTGGGACTTGGAGCACATCTGGGAAAAATAGCCATAGCAACTGCCATTTCTTGGCCGCCATATGTCTATGAGAAGGGTATGGAATCAGAATTTGTGTCTCCCAAGCACTGCTTAGTGAACTGGGCCCAGGTGGCACTGAGGGCCAATATGATTCTTATGAGCCTCTTCTCAGCTGGCACCTGTCTCCCGACTGCCTTCTATGTACTCAGTTGTGTAGTAGACACAGGCTGGTAAGAGACTTATAAGACGTATGTATTAGTTAGGATTTTTTAGTTTAACTTCCAGAAATCCCACTCAAAGTGGCTTTAATGTAAAAAGAATTTTTGGCTTATGATATGGTTCAGTCCAAGAGTTTCTGCTAGCTTCGGGTACAGCTTGATCCAGGTCCTTGAACAGTATTATCTGGAATCTCTCTCCACCTCTCTCCGTCTGAAGTTGGTGTTAGCATCCGTCTCAGGCATATTCTTCTCAGGTGCTAGCAAAACCGGCCATTAACAACAAGATTAAATCCTACCAAGTTTACCAGTGACAGAATAAATCGAAAACACCTTTTTATCATCAGTAAAGATCCCAGAGAAGACTCTCATTGGCTTAACTTGAGTCGTATGTTTACCTATCAACCAATCCCTATGGCTGTGGGGAAGCAGAACTCTGGTTGGCCAGGCCTGAGTCGTGTGTCTACAGCCAGATCAAGGAAGTGAGGGATTAGCCTCACCCAAACCTCACATGCTAAGAACACTTAAGGCTACTCCCTTAATCAATATTGCACAGGCCAAAAAAAAAAAAAAAAAAAAAAAAAAAAAAAAAAAAAAAAAAAAAAAATGTCTACTGTAGGCAAAAGCCCTAGAACTGGCTAGCCCACGAAGAGCTTCCAGCATATTCAGGAAGATGAGATTGGCCCACGCATGGAGCAGATGGTTGAAAGGAGGGCCCAGAGAACACCCAGGACTGAAGTGCTAATCAGGGACTGCTTGTTTGGGGTTTCCCAGAAGCACGTCCTGAGACAAGGATTTGTGGAGGGAGTTATTTGGGGAGTCGATTCTAGGAAAGACTGTGAGGGACAGAGGGAGGGTGTCAGCCAATAAAAGGTGTGTCAATCAAGCCTGTTCCACCATGGAGCAGGGGCCCCTCCCACTGGGAGAGACTGTTAGCATGCCTCACGCTTACTCGGCCCAGGGGGTGAGGGGTCTGGGATACTCACCCTCTGGTGCCTCCATACGCCCCGGTACATACGCTCTGGCTGCTCCCTGGGGACATTAGGGTCCTGACACTTCTGGCCCGCCTGAGGAGTGGGCAAGAGAGGCAAGAGAGCGCACTCAGGCGAAGGGGTCGTGGGCTCCCAGGGCATGGAGGTGAGGCTCTGACAACCTGCTGCAGAGAAGGAGGGGCATAGGGGTTGGGTCGCGCCATGGTTGGAGCTGGCTCCCCGAGAGAGGTGGCTCTGGGGCTGGGCCCGGGCAAGCCCACGCCTGATCCCTCTCTGCCCCCGCCCAGGAGTTGGCTACGCCGTGATCCTCATCGCCATCTACGTTGGCTTCTACTACAACGTCATCATCGCCTGGTCTCTCTACTACCTCTTCTCCTCCTTCACCCTCAAGCTGCCTTGGACCGACTGCGGCCATGCCTGGAACAGCCCCAACTGCACCGACCCCAAGCTCCTCAACAGCTCTGTGCTGGGCAACCACACCAAGTACTCCAAGTACAAGTTCACGCCGGCAGCAGAGTTCTACGAGTAAGTCATCGACCCCTTGTCCTATTCACTCGGGCGCACCGAGACCTGTGCGGGGCAGGACCTGGGCCGACCACCAAGGAAAACCACCCCGGTCGGCATTTGTAGGGGGCACTGAGAAGCCACCACAGGCCGGACCCTGGGCTGGGAGCTGAGGATACAGCCCTGGCCAGGGCAGTGGAGGACACTGTGTTCCGGCCCGGGAGAGTGGGGGTGCGGGGAAATACCCTAGTAAACATGTAAGGAAGCAAGAACGTTTCTCTAGAGAGTCGACGTGCCCTTCAGGAAATAAAACACATTTTAGGGAGTGTAGGTGCTCTTAAAGAACGAAAACCAGGTATATGAGGGGGAAAGGACCATTAGCTCGGGTGGCCAGGGAGGGCTTGTCTGAGGAGGTGACATGAACACTGATGAAGCCAGCCAAGGGAACATCTAGGGGCTCAGCCAGCAGCTGATGGAACTGGAGCTTGAACCCAAATGGAACTGGTCCTGAAGCTGCCATGTGGCCCCCCTGTGCTGCTGTCCCTCTGGGGCTTCCAGGTTGAAGGTTGTCGGTGAAATTCAGAAAGCGGGAAGCAGGCCAGCTATGTGCGGCTCGGGGGAAGTATGTGGACCATGTGTGCCTGAGAGGCACTGACTGGTGGTAGAAGACAGATTATCTTTTTTAAAAAGACACGTTTTATGTTGAAATCATTGTAGATACAGAAAAGTTGGGTAAGTAACATGTAGAGCTCTTGTACACCCTGCATTCAGTTTCGTCTGTCGACACCTTATATAACCCTAGTGCAGTGATTGAAATCTGAAAATTAGCGTTCCTATACTGTTAACTAACCTGCTAAAGGCCTTCTGTCGAATTCGTCAGTTTTCCCACTAATGTTCTTTTCCGGTCCAGGATCCAGCCCAGAATGCCACGTGGCATTTAGCTGTCCCTTCCCCTTAGTCCCCAGTCTGTGAGAGTTCTCTGGTCTTTCCTTGAGTGTCATGACCTTGACACTTTTGAAGAGTACTGGTGAGTTATTCTGTGAATTAGGCGTCAGTGTGGGTTGGTTTGCTATTTTCTCCCGATTAAACTGAGGCTAGGCATTTTTGATAAGAATACCATAGAGATGATGCTGTGTCCTTCTCAGTGCATCATATCAGGAGGGACACGATGCCTCTTATTACTGGGGATGGTAACCTTGATCGCTTGGCTAAGACGGTACCTGCCAGCTTCCTTCTGTGTGGAGAGACCATTATTCCCTTTGTAATTAACAAGTGTCTTCTGGGGGAACCTCTCGAGGTTATGTAAATATCTTGTTTCTCATCATCCTTACCCCAAATCCTCAGCATCCTTCAATGATGCTTGCCAGCAAAGATTATTATCATAGCGTTTGCTAATTGTGATTCTCCGTTCCCATCATTCCCTCTAGATTAATTGATTGGGATTCTTTTGTAAGGAAGAGTTGTCCCTTTCCCCCTATTTATGCCTTCATTCTATCATTTACTGATGCATTTTTTTATTGAGATATAATTGACGTATAACTTCATACTAGTTTCACGTGTACAATGATTTGACACATGTATATATTGCAAAATGATTCCTACAATAAGTTTAGTTAGCATTCATCACTACCCACAGTTACAAATTTTTTTTCCTTGTGATGAGAACTTTCAAGATCTGCCCTCTTAGCAACTTTCAAATATACAGTAGTATTGTTAACTGGACCCACCACGTTGTACATTACATCCCCATGATTTCTTTATTTTATAGCTTCTGGAAGTTTGTACCTTTTTACCACCTTCACCCAGTTTGACCATTCCCGCCCCCTGCCTCTGGCAACTACCAGTTCGTTTTCTTTATCTTTGTAAAAAATGTTTTAGTTTCCACGTATAAGTGGGATCCTATGGTATTTGTCTTTCTCTGTCTGACTTATTTCGCTTTGCATAACGCCCTCCGGGGCTGTCCATGTCGTCACAAATGGAAGGCTATCCATTTTTTTCACGTGAATATTTTATGTATATAGATAAATTTTATATTTTATATACACTTACATAAATTTTTTGTAAGTATAAAATATTGTATATTACATATATATTTTGTATTGTGTGTATATATATATGCCTAATACATATATACGTATCTACACAATACATATATACAATACACCATAGTTTGTATGTGTGTGTGTGTGTACGTGTGTGTGTATACATATGTGTATATCACACGTTGTCTCTCCGTACACACACACACACACACACACTCCATCATTTTTATACATTCATACATCCATGGATATCTTGTTTCCATGTCTTGGCTATTATAAATAATGCTGTGAACACAGGGGTGCAGACATCTTTTTGAGTTAGTGTTTCCACTTCCTCCGGATAAATACCCAGCCGTGAAATTGCTGGATCAGCTGGCAGTTCTATTCGTAACTCTCTGAGGAGCCTCCATACCCTTTCCCACAGCGGCTGCACCCGTTTGCATTCCCGCCAACGGTGCACGAGGGTTCCCTTTCTCCACATCCTCACCAGCTCTTGTTACCTCTTGTTTTTTTTTTGATGGTGGTCATTCTAACAGGTGTGAGGTTCTGATATCTCATGGTGGCTTTGATTTGCATCTCCTCCGTCATTCATTGACATCTGTACGGGCTCGCGGAGAGTTGTTTCATTCTGTGGTTTTCATCCAGAACCGTCAGTATTTATTTGTGGTTCCCCTGTCATCCTCAACTCCATCCTTTTATGTCTTGAGGTCAACTTGGTTTTGGTCACCTAATGTGCAAATGTTTGCACGTCGGGCTCTTCAGAATGCAGCTTGTGTTGTCTTTTTCCCTCGGGCGGGGACAAGCCCCGTTTTAGCAATCGAGACACAAGTGTTCACAGATAAGCAGGAAGTCCCGTTACAAGCTGTGGGGTGGGACAGGGAAATCTCACCGGGACCTCACTCGTGAGGCGTACGGGGTCTGGAGTAGGCTGTGACAATCTGCTCTGTAAAAACCAGATAGCAAATATTTGAGGCCTTGAGGACCATATATGTCTCTCGCATATTCTGCTTTGTTTCATTTTATCCTTTCCAAAGAGAAAGACCATTCTTAGCTCACAGGCTGGACTTGGCTTGGGGGCCACGGCTCGCCGACTCCTGGTCTAGAGCAGTGCTGCCCTGCGGTGATAGGAATGTTCTCTATCTGTGCAGCTCAAGAGGGGGCCACATGTGGCCAGTGGAGCCATTGAAACATGGCCAGTGTGACTGAAGAGTTAAATTTTTAAATTTTATTTAATCTTCATCAATTTACCTTTAAAGAGCCACATGTGGCCTGTGGCTACCACGTTGGATAGTTCTGGTCCAGAGGATGAGAAAAGACAGATTCATAAAAGACAAAACGCGAGGACCAGCTTCCTTCAGTGCTATGGATTCTCTACACCAAGGCCCTGGGGATGCATCCTGATTGTCTGGAGACTGGGCTTATCCTAGGCCAGTTTCCATCCCTTCCATCTCAGGGCAGTAGGGCCAAAGAGATACAGTTTGGTTAAAAGTGGCCTCTGGAGAGCCTTGTGCCTCCTGGGGCTTGGGAAATTAGGCGCTCAGGGCCTAGGAGCTGCCCTCAACGAGCCAGTGCCGAGAACTTGCCGGTCCCTGACCTGCATGTCCCCTCCACCGTCTGTGTTTCCTGTGAGTTTCCAGCAGGCATGTGCGAAATGACATAGGTGTGGGACTTGGAGGGGAGAGGGTCCAAAGTTGTCATCAAATGCAGATTGAAGCACATCTGAAACCCCTCGAGGACTGAGGCGTTGCCGTTGCTTAAAGCAAACATCCGTTTACGTTAACAGTGTTATCCCTGTCTCCCTCCCCATCACGCACGTGTGTCCAGCTTTCTGCTGACTTCTTTGCTTGTGTTATTTCAATTTAAGCCTCACCCCAACCCCACGAGGTTTCTGTAACTACCCCCCGCCTCCCCAAGTGCACGCACGAGGAGGCTGTGAATATAAGCACTGCCCCAGGGCCCCAGGGCCCCACGGCCAGTACTGCACAGAGCCAAGATTTGGGCCCAGGCAGTTTGTGCTTATAGGACAATGGGCCCAGGCAGCTTGTGCTATAGGCCGTGAGTGAACACCTGCCTCTGCTTTGCCCCTGGGACCCTCCCTCTCCCCACCCCAGCCCCTGCCTCGCCAGGCAGTGACATTCAGAGCCTGCAGTCCTAACCTCTGGGTCGTATTGGATTCGAGCCATTATAAATGGCCATGACTACTCAGAAACATTGCCACAGTCACAGCTAACATTTGTCCGGCCTAGATTATGTCCCAGTCACTATGCACAGTGCCTTTTCACCCTGACCACCGTGGCCAGTCTAGAACTATCATCGTGTCACGAACGAGGAAACAGGGGCAAGCAGGAAACGACTTGTCCAGGGTCATGTAGTTTAGAAGTGACATTTGAAATGGGTTTGAACCCAGGAAGTCTGGGTGGAAAAGCCAGTTTCCCAGCCCAGTGATTCAGAACCACCCAGAAACATACAGATGCCTGGACCCTGCACCCAGAGACGCCGATTTCATCGGTCTGGGTGCAGCCAGAACATGGGGGGTTTTATTGACAGTTCCTCTGGTGATTCTACTATGACAGCCACTGTCTTGACCACTGTGCTCTTCGGTCTCAGACAGAGCAAGATTTTTCCCGCTTCAGGCTGACATCCCAACAGTGTCCTGTTGTGGGAAATCTAGGGCCGCCTTCACTTTTATTTATTTATTTATTTTTTAATTTTTTTATGTTTTATTTATTTTTGTGAGAGAGACAGAGCGTGAGCAGGGGAGGGGCAGAGAGAGAGAGAGAGAGAGGGAGACACAGAATCCGAAGCAGGCTCCAGGCTCCGAGCCGTCTGCACAGAGCCCGACGCGGGGCTCAAACTCGTGAACCACGAGATCATGACCTGGGCCAAAATCAGACGCCCAACCGCCTGAGCCACCCAGGCGCCCCTCCTTCACTCTGCTTCTGAGGAGCGGGGCCTCAGAAAACCCCAGAACCTTTGGGG